TATAAAACAAATTGCGATTTGGTCAGAATTTTGAATAAGTTGCAATAGGTGGAGAGCAACACTTACAGTCAAGTCACAGTAACATGCAAAAATAAAGATACATTGTCCCATAAAAAATGTACATTACCCACAAAAAAAAAAACAATCAATTAAACATATTACAAAAAATGATTTATTAATTTCAATGAATTAAGGACCATTAAAAAACTTTATAGCCTTGAAAATTTAAAAAAAAGCAAAAATCCTAAATCCTTGTTTTCTTTTCATTGTGTAGGCATGAATGAAAATGATAAAAGGAGAATTCGGAAACGTACCGACATGTTTGCAATCGCAGAAGGAAAATTATATTATAAAGGTGGAAAATATAACAAGGGAGAGAAAAAAAATTAGTTATACCAAAAGATCAAAAATAGCATTTATGAATATTTTCCTGTACTTAAAAAATCTCCTAATTGTTTGCTTATAAAATGTGCATCAATTTAGTACTGATTTGTATATATGTTGTTAAAGCAATTTACCTGTATTTCTGATTACTTTCATTTTAATGAATGACATGTCAAATTGGCAAAATGATAAAAGAGGGACGAAAGATACCAGAGGGACAGTCACATTTATAGATCTTCTCCTACTGATCATTTGTGCTTCTTACAGACTCTCTTTTCCTACTACAAGTTATGCAAAAATAGCAGAAAATCGGTTAAAACAGTCTTTCATGGGCAATAACTCAATCAAGGAGTCGACTGTAAATGTCGGTAAAAAATGGTAAAGGTCAAAATGTTATACCAGTCATGCGATAAAACTTCCACCATAATATTTATTCCAAAGATACTTTATTATGTAACAAAACTTCCTATTGGAATTTATTTTATGTGATAAAAATTCCGAGGCATCGGTCCTTTTATTATGCTTATGGCTTATGTATCACATAAAATTAATTCCAATTGGAATTTTTGTTACATAATAAATTATCTTTGGAATAAATATTATGGTGGAACTTCTATTCTGTGACAGTCCTGTTGGAGCATTTCGCTGTATACAGTTTCTTTCGATTTACCAAAGTTTCTGCAAAAAACATAAAAAACGGTGAAAAGCGTCTTTTTAAAGGCAATAACTTCGTATCAAGCAGTCAACAGACGATTATGGCCATGTTGACTGATTTATAGATCTTGTCCTACTGATCATTTGTGCTTCTTACACTCTCTCTTTTTCTACTACAAGTTACGCAAAAATAGCAGAAAATGGTTTAAAACAGTCTTTTATGGGCAATAACTCAATCAAGGAGTCGACTGTAAATGTCGGCCATGTTTAATTATTTGTAGATCTTGCCTTGCAGATCAATTTTGCTGCTCATTTTCTATACATCTACTTTAGTTTCTGCAAAACAACAAGAGGCTTTAAAAAGCCTTTGTTGCTCACCTGCATCTTAAACAATGGCCACTTTTTATTTAAAAGTTAACTGACAATTTTAGTCATGTTGACATATTTATAGATCTTATCCTTCTGATATTTTCCCCTTCTAATAAAGTTTCTATTTATCTATTATAGTTTTCAAGATAAAAAACAAAAAATGCCATAAAATGTTAAAAAAAATATCAATAAAGGGCAATAACTCCAATAACGAGTCGACTGAATATTTTAACCAGTATAGCTTATTTGTAGATCTTGTCTTGCTGATCATTTGTGCTATTTAAAGTTTCTATCTATTACAGTTTACACAATAATAGGCAAAAATGGGGGGAAATAGTCATTTAATGCCAATAACTTCAATAAAGAGTCGACATACAATTTTGATGATATTGACGAAATATAGATCTTGTCTTGCTGGTCATTTTGGTTTTTTAAAGTTTCTATATATCCATTACACTTTTCAGATATTAGTCAAAAACGAAAAAAAAAAAAAAAATCGGTAAAATTCATCATTTAAGGGCAATAGCTCCTATAAGAAGTCGTCGGACAGTGTTGATGTAAATAGACAATAGTGAATGTTTAATCTTCTGAACAATTTTGCAACAATCAGAATTTCACTATTAATAGCGGTTTTCAAAATAATAGGCAAAACTTGCATTTTACCCCTATGTTCTATTTTAGGCATGTCGGCCATACTCGTTGGCAGGCGGAGTCATCAGACACATATCTAAACTAGATACACCAATAATGATTGTGGCCAAGTTTGGTTTAAATTGGCCCAGTAGTTTCAAAGGAGATTTATGTAATAGTTAACAAACGAAAAACGCAAAGTGATGACAAAAGCTCACTTGGACTTTCTGCCATGTGAGCTAAAGAATGGGCAATAACAAGCTTTCAATGGCATTATTCCCTATAAGGAGCCAACTGCCCGAACTAAAGATAATAGCCCAATTCGCTTAAAATGGTGAACATCCTAATTTTAGGATAAGTAGGTATTTCTTGACATTCTGAACATTTCTGCATGTGTCATATTTTCTTAATCTATAATAAATTTCAAGATAAAAGACAAATTTTGCATTTTATTCCTGTGTTCTATTTTAAGACTTGGCAGCCAAGTTGGTTAATAGGCCAGAACATCGGACACATTTTTTAATGTAAAAACCTTGAGGATGACTGTGACCAAGTTTGGTTCTATATGTCTCAGTAGTTTCAGAGGAGATTTTTTAAAAAGTTAACAGGCGACGACGTGATGGAAAAAACTCACACTGGTCCTTTGGTCCAGGTTAGCTAAAAAAAATATAATATAGTACTATTGCATATACCGGTAGTTGTTTTTCTGTCATTCTACAGAAAGATGAAAAAAAAAATTCCATTGATAAAAAAGCTAAATATTTGTCAATAAGAGTAGGTAACTTAATTTACATAACAGTTTCTTTTACTTTGCAATTCATCATTTTTATCAAATCATGTTCAGCTTCAGTTTTAATTTTTTTTCAAGCAAATAAATAATGGAAATACAATTCCACTTTTAAAACGGGGAGTACATTGATCCTTGCAGTTCCTGAACAAAGGGTGGGAAATTTAATGTAATATAATAATTTTTCGTGAATGAAGACAATAAAACTTTTAATGACACAAGATCCAACAATGATTTGCATACATTTTAATTTGAGGTGCATATATTGAGTAACATGGGATTCCAAAATCTTCAACCTAGGTTTAATTGATTATTTGTCCCAGCATCAATTGAGCCACAAACTATTACCAAATTTACTTCTATTAGGTACTGCAACATTCTATTTTTTTTCTTTATTTGAATGACATTTCACCTCTTTGATGCTGGGTTGTTTAACTTGCTAGGGAATTATATACATGCATCTGTAATAAACACATACTATTATCATTATAAATTACTGTAATTAGATAGAGATGAATCAATAAATTATGCAAGTGATGAGATAGGTAGTTTGATCAATAATGATATAGATAAGAGGTAGTAGTAGTTTGGTTTACTAATGCTCAAATCTTGAAAGTCAAATAATGCATTAATCAAGATTTGAAAAATAATATCTTAAGGGAATAGCAATAATATCAATCGAGAAAAAATAGGTGTGTCAGCTTCTCCTGCTATGCATGCATCATTCACTATGCAAATACTTACTTCAAAATAGAGAATATGATGCATTTAGTAAATGAACAACAACAAAAAAACTCATCATATACACCAGATTAATTAGACTGAGGACTATTCTGGTAGCTAACAATCTAAGACTGCTAAAACATTTCTCACTTGTGGGATGAGACAAAGAAACATCATCACATCAGTCAACCAATTTGTGAGGGTGATTGTAAAACTTGTGTATTGTCAATTTTCAGATTTTTCTTCATAACCTTGCTGGAGCAGTTTTTACATCAGAAACACAGCCCTGTATAATGTCAACATGCACACATATAACATATTAATTGGGATATGTAAATCTAAGTTGTATGATATCAGTACACCTACTCTATAACAAAGACCAAATTAGTAAGCAAATTGATACAAGAATACAAACACTGAAATGTCACCCAACCTTTCTTGATGATAATTGAATTCATGACAAGTCTTTAAAGGAAAAAGGTTCCATTTCAAATATTACACATACAAAACATTATCAATGATCCATGCAAATGAGGTAACGGTCAGATGAAATCTGACTGACAGTCATGTACACCATACAATCATTGGGTACACCAAATTTTATTAGCCTTTTGCTTGTAATATTTGAGAAAGACCAAACCACAAAAAACTTAACATTGTTTGGCTTACCATGAAATAGAGGTGATTGTCAGATAAACCCTGCAAGACAGACGTGTACATATTCAGTCATTCTATACACCAAATATAGTTGACCTTTTACTTATTGTACCCGGGAAAAAGACTTAATCTAGAAAACTTAACACTGATCATTGAACCATAAAATGAGGTCAGGTGAACCCTGTCTGATGAACAAGTGTTCCTTGAAATGCATCTATATACCAAAATACACATATCTGAAAAAAAGGCGATTAAAAAACTTGCTTTCTAAGTGGTCATTGAACCATTAAAATGAGGTCAATGACAAAGGACAAATGCCAGACAAAAACCCAAGACCATTTAAAAGTATCTCTATTCCAGATGAGGATTATTCAGCTAATCTTCCTAGACCTTCTAAAATATGCAAATTAATTAAAATTATACAGGGATAATTTTGTTGGACAAGTATTTCACAATGTCACTCCTTCTGCTACAAAAACTTCAATGATAGTGAGTCAATTACTGGAATATGATATATTTTTATGATAAAAGTCTGCCCCACAATTTACAAATATTGTCTTTTGATAAGGTAACTGTGTTGTGTAAGGGCTGTTCCATTAAAACATGCATGGTACCCAGGGAAGGCACTTTGAAAACAGAGTGACCACCCATAGAAACAATTTTAGAGTCCTGCATACATTTAAACCCGTACAACTATATTTCACACCCACCAATAGTGGCAAATTTAAGTTGCCTTCCCTAGGTCCCATGTATGTTTTTTATGGAACAGCCCTAAGCTGATATTCAATGAGCTCACCTTTGAAAACCTTTATCATATATTTTGATGTACAGTCCCTGTAACGTAAAAGTTAACACTTTTTTCATTCGGGAATCGTACGTACAGCGTTCGGTCATCGTTCGTACAGAGTTCGGTCATCGTTCGTACATCATTCGTATAGCGTTCGTACAACGTTCGGTCAGCGTTCGTTCATCGTTCGTTCATCGTATGGTAAATGTCATCGTTTAGGGTTTTGTATATCGTATGGTTCATGGTATCGTTAAGCGTTTTGTTTGTCGTATGTAACATGGTATGGTTTAGCGTTTAGGGTTTCGTTTATCGTATGGTTTAGCGTTTAGCGTTTCGTTTATCGTATGGTTTATCGTTTAGCGTTTCGTTTATCGTATGGTTTAGCGTTTCATCTATCGTATGGTATATCGTTTTGTTAAGCGTATGATATATGTTAGGGTTTTATTTCAGAAAGGTATTTCAATTATTATTTTTAGTTAAAATAATTTAATATAAAAAAATGCGGGATAAAAAAAAACACAGTTATTAGTTGGATTGATTGGTAGTTGGTTGCGTACATGTACTTGTATATCCCAAACAACCAAACGGATGCCCTACTTTGGCAAGGTTTTTTTTTACTGCCAGCCGAAAGAAGAACTGTAGTTACCATATTTATATCCCCTTGTCACCCTTTGGACTATATTAGATTGGAAAGATTGGATTGGAAACATTTCACTTGTTAATTAAAGCAAATAACTTATCTTAATTATTTTTTTTTTTAATTTTGAATCATTGTGTTAATAACATTTTAAATTTGATCTTATAAAATGTTAAAAAAAACTAACCTAAACAATACCCTTAGTTCAATGGAACGTGAACTATCTATTTTACATACAACTTATTTAGTCGTAAAAAAAAGTAATGGTTGTAAACGTTTTATCTTCGATTGAGAAACGTTTAGCAATGCAATAAACTTACTTTAAATGTACTATTACTTAATGTAGATTTCGACCTGTATACCATTTCTTACCGATAGAAAAAAAAATCTGCAACTAATATCATTACACTATGGAATACCCTGCTATATAAAACGAAGGGGAAACATTTCCTTCCATCACATTTTGAAATGAGTACATTTGTTGTAACATGAGACCAAATACCGCGAAATATATTAGTCTCTCTCTCCTCCTCCTTCTCCACGAACTATTTCTTTGATCTAAATATTTCCTTGATACAATAAATGATATATAATGTTCTATAAATGAGGGTTTATATGAGATACATGTTTTATATCTAAATGTATTAAAAAAAGACAACACATCCATGGCATTTGTTCCCCTCAATGTCAGAGTCTGATATAAACCGAAGATTGCCAGGGATATATAAAAATCGTGAAGACTTCTATGGAACCAGCGTCGCTTGCGATTGCTGCTATTGGTGTTAAAATTGTTATTTTGACTGTAAAAGGTGTTTAAGTCCATGTATGAGTAAAATACAGAATGAAAAAATAACTCTACCTTTTATTTTATATATTTATATATTTTGGAGGTAAGCTGCTGTCCAAGTTTCACAAATTTTGATTTTAACGCAAATCATTAAGATCGAATCACCTAAAATAACCAACCAATTGTATTTTAAAAGTTGTTGATTTGTTCTTTGGACGAATACATGGAATATTTGTCACTGGACGTTATGCATGCAATCAATGATCAAATACAAATCTACAGTATTTATAAACATACTGCAATTGTATATATGAAAGAGACTAAATAATAAAAATATTTATTATTTTACACATATTTGAAGGATCGAAATAATCAGTTCTACAAATGGTTGTTATTGAAAGACTTAATGCAAATTTTACAAATATTACATGCCTCTGTGAAATTTCATACCAAACTATTTCCTTTTATCGTGCATAGCTCATTTTCCGAATCACTTAAGGTTTTTAACGATCTTCTTACTTGTTCATTACATTCTAAAATTAAAATCCTACACAAATTGCCAAAACTTTTATGTGCAGGCTAGGCAGCGTAAAAGATAAATGTTAGTGTACAAACGGTGTTTTGAAGGCCGATATCCATTTGCGCTTAAAAAAGAATTAATTTGCGCCACAACTTAATTACGCCAATTCTTCTTTTGCGTCACTTTCTCTTGAAAACAGCAGCATTCATTTGCACCAATACAACAAGCATTTATTTGCGCAAATGTTATAGACTTATTTGCAAATTTTTGTTCTTATTGCACTAAGGACAAACATTTGCATTAAGGACCTGATGGAATGATAGAATTGACACCAAGAACATGGCATATAGAAGGAGACTTTCTAAAAGTACATAATTTCAAATTTTATAATTACCGGCTTTAGTAATTATAAAGTTATTTAATGTTTTATCGACAGGCGCCACACTCCGTTGATTGTCACCTGTGTAATCGATAGCAATTCGCGATCATGTTCGTTTAACCTTGACCCGTTTTGGATCCACTTGTATACTGATTAAACATGTTTATGGTATTTCAATTTTCTCTTATTTCGTTCGTTTGTTTGTTACTGTCGTATTTATTTTGTGGCACGCGCTGATTAAAAAGTCATTTAACTTCGAAATAATAATATCGATTGACACCAAACTTTATATTTATAAGTTATATACTCATATCTTCTTATATCGATGTTCTTTGTGGTCTTAAAACATCGTTTTAGTGTCCTTTGTGTAAAAACTTTGTGCTCAGTCCTTTGCGGTATTTCTAAACACCGTTTTGATATTTAATTAATAACTGGATTCCCTCCACATATTTACGGGCTAGTTTCTGAGTGCTGAATTCATGTATGTGATCTTATTCACCATTCAAAATTATTGTGCACGAGTCATCTGTAAATAGCCTTGCAAAGCATGATTGAACAGCGCGCATTATATTCCCATCTAATTTCTCCATTTTTCTCTATAAAAGCCTGGTGGAATTTATAATCTTCACAACCACGAAAGGTTTCAGAACCTCTATCAGACTCTATCTTCTAAAAAAAAATTCAGACATCCTTTCAAGTGAGTATTCTTATGTTACATGTATATAGGTTAATCGTAAAGAGGTAAATATGGCACAATTAAGTTCTATTTTTTGGCGCAATTCATACTACAAGAAAAGAAAAAAATGGGCGAGATTCAAACCTTTTCTAAATGGTAGTTGGCGCAATTTACACCTAACCGTTCTGACAAACCGGTAATTTCGTCGCCCGCGCCGGGGATATGAATTTGACATTAATCTTCCTTCAGTAACTTTACAATACGCAGCCGTGACGTCATTTCCGTATATTGTAGATAGTACGTGTGATATTTACACCAGAAATACCCATTCAAGTGAATTTTATCTTTTAGGAGGACTCCATTTCGGGTAACATTAAATATAAATAAAAATAGAATTACAATTACAATTAAAAAAAATTGATAATAATAAGTTCAAATGTTGCTTTATTAAATGCACCTAGGTACGTATTTGTAAACTTATGTTATTACTTTATTTCATGCATCTTATTTTTGTATTCTTTTTTGGCGTCAATTACATAATTGTTTTCTAGTTGACCCCTTCATAAATCGAAAAACGCATAAATTTTAAACCTAAATACAATCACATGGCATTGAATGATTTCTCCAACTCTAAACTAGTTATAGATGCCTCTTAATTTTTATTTTTCTCGTTGGGTTGCTTGTCCGTTGACGTTTACGCCATATATTTTTTTCGGTATTTGTAAAAAGCCGCTCATCGATCAATTTCACAAGAAATCTAATGAGAAAAATACTCGTAAGGGAGCTACCATTTGATTTTTAGGGGGGGGGGGGGGGACTAGATTGAAAATTTTTGTCCTGCATTTGTTTTTAGCTGTAATCTCTGTCCTGCCTTTTTATTTTTCACTCTATTCGGTCCTGCCTTTTTTTTTAGTTTATCCTGACTATTTATTACCTAAATTGTCGTTCTGACTTTTTTTTTTTTTTTGCAAGTGTCTCATCCTGCCTTTTTTTTTTACTCAAAGCTCCCTAAGTCATGAACTTTAAAGTATAACTTGCTATCAATTTTTGTAGTAAGATTGTTTTGTGAAGAGAGCCCTTCAGGATACTTCATCGTATACGCACAAAGATAAAATTAATGAAACACTGTTTAGCTGTTTATATCATGCAGTGAATTTTGAAAATATGGTTTTAAAAAAAACGGTTATTTCTGTTTAATAATTTTCTGTCCCTTGTTTTAATAATTAGGACACGTGCAACCGGTTATACAACTAGTAAACCATGAATAATCTCAAACAACAAATTTTTTATTGGTTTGTCACAATTGCTTATCAATGTCGTATGGTTTTGGTGTGTTCCCATTTCGCCTTAGCTGGAAATTCCAGGTAAAAAAGGTATAATAAATACTAAGGCGATATGGGAATTGTACTAAGGCGAAATGTGAATTTAGATGAAAAAATTAAATAAACAAATTAAACCTCTGTGTTTTTATAACAATATAAACAACATGTAATTAGGGATTTTTTTTTCTCTTGGATTATTATTTTAATATTTATTTATAAAAAGACACTTTTTATGATTTAAAAAATTGTGAAATCAGAAAAAAAATCTACAATAAAACATAAGTCAGTAGGAAAGTTGCTTCTTTTATGCTTTATTTAAGAAAAGTTTCGATTGTATGAATTTTATGCAATTAAAAAATTCTTAATAATTCAATTATCCTTTACATTGTGCAACACAAAAAGTTAAAAAGAAAGAGAAAAAATACATTCCCACAGATTTATTTACATATATGACAGAAATTTTAATAAAATAAATAAAATAATAAAAAAAAATTTTTAATTGTGTTAATTATATATAATAAAGAAAATTTCGCCAGACCACAAGTAGAGAACCATTTCTACAAGCTGATGATGGTGACATCAACAAGCTACTCATATTTACAACTGCTGAAAATCTACGACAACTGTGCACTGCAGACACTGTATACTGTGATGGAACTTTCTACACAGCACCACCAATGTTTGACAGCATTTTCACCATTCATGCATTTGTTG